GATTCCGGGTCAAACCGGATATTTTTCATCCGGTTTATAATCCGGATGAAACCCGTGAAAATCCGGATATCCGAAAAAAAAAAAAATCCGGATCAATCCGGATTGATCCGGATACGGGTCGAGGCACTAATCCCAGGGTGCTCCAGCAGCATTAAGAAAGATACAACCAGTGTATTTCTTGGTATCATCAAGTAAATCAAGGTCGAAATAACCATTTCTCATTTCTGTCAAGTTTACATATTTCGCTTTTTGTTTCTCGTAAGTTTTAGTGGCTAAATTATATTAAATTTGAGTTTGAATTTGATGCGACATTTAAAAACTAAAACTTAATTACCTGGATATCGATGTAGTAATTTGTACAATTTGATATCTTTAGTTTTAGGTAAGACAACTTCAAAATTCGGAAATTCATGCGAGAATTCCGCACCCTTTAAAAGTGTCTTCAAATTAATTTTCTCATATCCTAGTAAACGAAAAAGACTGAGGCGCAATGCCAAGAATTTGGCATTAAAGTCTTCAAAATTCTGCCAATTATTTGGATCATCATATTGTAACATGGGTTTCCAATGCATCATCAACAATTCAGGGTCAGTGGAATATTCAGCGATTGCATATACCCATAGGTAAGGTAAACGAATAAGGTAGTGTGCTTTTGCCGGAACCAGGTTCACAAATCCCATTGAAACAAGATCTCTATAGGTTAGAAATTTTCCTAATTCGTGGTCCTCAACTTTCACATTCTCTTTTTTAGCCGCTTCCATTTTACCAACTGGAAGACCCAAAATGGCCTTTGCGAGAGGTACTGACAAAGAATTTGAAAAATTATCAAGTTGATATTTATTTACAATCCTATGTTTGACGTGTTCCATAACTTTTCCGATACCATGGTGGGATGTTAATCATTATTGTATAGTTTACAATCAAACGCTAAAATTTAAAACTGATTGTCAAAAATGGTGTTCATATTGTATTATAATTTATACTGGATGTAGGCATTGTTTGACAACAAATATTATTTTTGGAATTATAGGTGAATCTCAATGTAAGAAATGCAAAAGAGTATCACTTATTACAATCAAAATGATAAAGATTAAAAAAAAAATATCTAAAATTAACACAAATAGCTATAAACAGATTTCCAATTATATGAATAATAATGATAAAAATTCTAATCCACTTGAATTATATAAGTTTATCAAAAAACTCGATCTTTTTCCTTTAAAACCATTGATATTCTGGAGTTCATATTCTCAAATTACAAGTTTATTAGGAAATAATGAAAATTCTTTTAAACCAAGTTTACCAATTATGTTTATTCCTTTTAATAATAATGAAGATGAATGTCATTATTGTAATAGGAAATACGATAAATTAGATTCATTTGAACCAAAATTTTGTCATTATTGTTTACGTTTTCATATTAATTTTATAGCTAAAAATATCAAATATACAATCAAAGACATGTATATATGTGATATTATAAATACATGTAAACATAAACGACAAGAATGGTGTGAAATTTGCACTACAATTTTGTTCTTTGATATAATAGTTATAAATTATACAAAGAATAATAGATTTTGTGATTATGAAAATATTATTGAAAGTAGAAAAGATTGTAAATTATGTGGAAAATTAATTTATGAACAGACTTCAATTGATTCTGAGTATAAACTATGTTCAAATTGCTATAAAATTTCTTTTGAATGTGTTAAATCAACTTTGATTGAAAAAGCCATTCTAATTCTTTATTTACTATGGTGGGATGCTTATAATCAATGTATAGTTTGTAATAAACTCCTTGAATTCGAAGGTGATTGTCAAAAATTGTGTTCAAGCTGCTTTATATTTTATATTGGATGTAGATATTGTTTGACAACAAATATTATTTTTGGATATACAAATCAATCTAAATGTAGTAAATGTAAAAGAATTTTTATTATTGAAATCAGTGGAAATTATATTATTGACAAATTTTTACATTTTACAAATGTTGATAATAATGATAAATATTATGAAATAGTTAATTATATTAATAATATTAATAATACCAACAAAAATTCTAATCCATTAAATATATATAGTTTTATTCGTGATAAGTATTAGTTATTTACTAATCTAGTAGTATATAAATGGGTTATCATCCGAAGGATGATGGCCCATTTATATACTAAACTAGATCAGTAAATAACTTTTTTATCATCCTAGATATACTAATTGGTCCGCCAGTTTATAACTGGCGGAAAAATCCTAAATACCAATTAGTAGCCAGGTGATAAGTTTGATTATCACTCTACAAGACCAAAAATAAAATGGGTTTCATATTCACAAATTAAAATTTTTTTAAAAAATAGCAGATGGAGGATTTGGTATTATTTATAAAGCTTTAATTAATGGAAACGTTGTGACTATAAAAAAAATTTTGGGTTCTCAAGAACCAAATAAATATTTTCTGAATGAGGTAATTAATTTTTAAAATTAATTTTACTTTAAAAAAAAATATTTATATAATATACTAATTTGAACTTTAAAATTTTAGTTAAAATCACTTTATCAATTTTATGATGGTAAATTTGAATATATTATTAAATGTCATGGTATCGCAAAAGATCCTATAACAAAAGAACTTATGTTTATAATGAAATATGCAAATGCATAATTATTTACAAAAGAATTTTGCAGAGATTACCTGGAAGAAAAAATTGCATATTTTGTGGCGAATTTCAGATGGGTATTTATAACTTAATTAATAATGATTTTAAAATTATTTAAATAAAATTTTATTAATAACCAATTTTTTGTTTTAGACTACAAACTATTCATGAAAAAGATTTCGTACATCGAGATTTTCATAGTGGAAATACAGTATATTGATTGAAATAATTGAAAATGATTCATATAAAATAGATCAATATCTAATTGGAGATTTAGGATTTTCACGACCTGCAAATGACATTCCACAAGATAACATTATATATGGAGTAATGTCTTATATTGCACCAGAAATATTTAAAGGCATCAAATTTTCTAAATCGTCTGATATTTATTGTATGGTCATGATTATGTGGGAATTGACAACTGGCTGTAAGCCTTTTGCTAATATTGAACATGATGTTGGTTTAATTTATAAGATCATTGATGGGAAACGGCCTAATATTACTGACGACACTCCGGACGATTTTACTAATTTAATGAAAAAATGTTGGAATCCTGATCCTAAAATGAGACCTTCGGCAACGGAAGTTTGTGAATTTTTTAATTCTTGGTCAAATATGGGAATGGATGCCGAATATTTTGATCAAGCTGAAGAAATAAGATTAGAATTAATAAAATCAAAAATGCTTGGACCAGATTTTAATGAAAAATCTCATCCAAAAGCAATTTATACAAGCAGATCAATAACATTTAATACGAATACGAAACCAAGTATGTAAACATTATTTTTTATATAAATTTGGACAATATTTAAAACATTTTAACATTTAATAATTATTATCATCTTAGATAATAAACTTATTGATGAATCAGTCAACAATAAAGGTATTAAGTTATTTTTTTAATGATAGAATCAGTACGTAAAGGAATTTATTAATTACTTGATTCTTTTTCTTTGGAATATATTACAAGGGAATATGAGTTTGATATAAATGAAAATTATGAAATTTAAAGGTATATTTAAAAGCTTTCTATTATTGCTTTTAATAATTGCTTTGTCCAATTCAGTATCAAGATAAGATTTCAGAAGTAATCCAATAAATCCAAGGAAATAAGATGCAACTGAAGATTTTACTAAATGAATTTTTTATCATTTTTATTTTATTTTATTTTATTTTTTTTAAAAAAAGGAATGCATATTAAAGTTAGTAACAATGTTAACACAGAATCTTATGAACAGCTTTTATTAAGTTATTTATTTATTTTTCTTAAATTTTGAATATAAATTAAAATAAAAATACATAAAATTGTATAAACTTAACCTATAATAAAGTATGGAAAATTCTAGAGAATTTATTCTTGTAGGTTTTCTAATTTAATTTGAGCATTTTGAAATCCTTGCTTAGCAGATTGTTTATACCAATAAATGGCTTTATTTATATCTTTTTCAACTCCATTTCCTGATTCATACAATAAGGCAAGATGATACTGAGCATCGTAATTCCCTAAATCAGCTGCTTTTTTATATAATCCAAATGCCTTTTTTATATCAACATTAGTTCCAATTCCAAGATTATAATAACATCCTAATAGAGATATTCCGAATAAATATTTCCCTTCTGCTGATTTTTTAGCTAATTCGAAAGCTTTATCAAAATCTATTTCAACACCTTCTCCAAATTCATACATCAAAGCAAGGTTATATTGAGCTTTTGGATTTTCTAAAATTGTTGCCTTTTGATATAATTCAAATGCCTTTTGCATATTGATTTCAGTTCCAATACCACTACAATAACAATACCCTAATAAATTTAATCCACCCAAGAGCCCAATTTCTGCTAATTTTTTAGATAATTCAAAGGCTTTTTTATAATTTCTATCACAAACTTCTCCATCTTTATACATATAAACAAGTTTTAATTGAGCCATATTGTTTTCTAATACTGCAGCTTTTTCATAAAGTTCAAGTGCTTTTTCCTTATTAATATCAGTTACAATTCCATGATAATTAAAATATCCAAGTAAATAAATAGAATTTGAACAATCTTGATTAATTAAAAGCCAATGGTAAATTTCTTGTATACTAATTTTGCAATCATCAATATAACCGAAAGCACTTTCCCTACATACACTTTCTTCTATTCCTTCATTTATTTCCTTAAAATAAATATTAACAAATTTATCAATTATGATACTTAAATCTTCTTCAAATATGTTTTCGTGAATTTGTTGTATTGTAGGTTCTATTTCGATCATATGAGACAATTTTCCATATCCATACAATAAACAATCATTAGTATCCGATCGAATAACATTGCTTGAATTAAATAATTGGGTTGACTTTGTAACCATTGCTCTTAATTTATAAATCACTTGTCTCATTGTCGGTCTTTTATTTGGTTCATTATTCCAACATTCTAAAAAATTAAAAAGCAGTGTATTACGTTACATAAAAATTAAGATTTTAATATTAAATTGATATTAATGTAAAATTATAAATATAAAATTATATTTACCAGTATATAAATTAGAATAATCAACGGGAGTACCTAAAACGTTTGTTTCTCTGTAACCCTGTAAAATTTTCTTAATTAAATTAGCATCATTTGATTCGTCTTCAAATGATGGTCGACCACTTGATATTTCCCATAGAATCATTCCAAAAGCGTAAACATGGCTCTTTTCATTTAATGAATATGATTGTATTAATTCATTATTGTCATTTAACCTTTTTGGGTCGATATAAAGAATTTTATCAAATGAACCTGATTGGTTTTCAGAAACTCTTTTGATTCTATTTAATAATGTAAAATTGGCTAATTTGATGGTTTTCTGATGAAAAAAAATATTCCCAGGGTACTAAAAAAAAATAAAATTTTTTAATTAATATTTATTTATTTTAATGAATTTAACGAAATAAATAAATTACCAAATCATGATACGCAATTCCTTTATCATGTAAAAATAATATAGCACATGCTAACTGGTACGCCAATTCATATTTGTCCTTCCAAGTAAGATTATTAAAATTTTCTTTCAAATAATCTCGAAGGGAACCACCGTTAGCATATTCCATTACTAATAAATATTCTTTCATTTGACCATTTTGATTTTCTAAAGGAAATAATAATTATTATAATTTATCAAATTAGTAAACATATTTTAAAAAATTTAATCCAAAATCTTTTAATTATTTATAATATTTTATACCTTTATCAGTAATTCCAAAAAAGTTAATTAAATTATTATGAAAATTAACTTTACTTTGAAGTTTAAACTAAATTATGAATAAAATATAATTAAAAAATGATAAATTGCTATATAATGTTTTCAATATTAAAATATTATAGACCAAGATATAAAATAAACCAAGATAATATTTTATTTATATAATTACCTCATGAATGAGTTCTTCTTTTAAAATGTCATTGTCAATAATATTAAAGGACTTTAATACAAAATGTTGTTCCGAATTTTTACAATTTGCACGATAAATTTGGTTACCAATTTTCTCAATATTATAAAAATTTTCATATTTGTAATACTTAATATTATTTACTAATATAAAATCTTCAACCCAATTAATTAATTCATTTGAATTTTTGGTGGTTTTCATTTTATTTTTATCAGACGTGAAAAAATACCAAAAAAAAAAAAGACGACCGCTGATGAGCCCTTTTTTTGTATGTTACACATTATGTAATTATGATGACTAATCACGGTATTGTAACGCTGTAACGCACGTGAGATCATGTAACTCACAGACCAATTAAGATTAATTTGATCGGCATTAAATATATGGTTAAAGTTGGCTGAAACAGAAATTTTAACCGATTAAACTCATCATCTGATAATAACAATAATAACGATAGCGGGAAAATATATATGGATTGATTAATTGGATTGATAATTAAGAATATGAGGATTTATTAAAAGATTATTTCCGGAGTACAGTATTTGGAAAAGTGTGTCATAATAATTGTTACGTTGAAAATTTTGATATACTAAATTGTATTCTAATATAGTCTCAGAAATTAAATCGATTGAAGTTATTCTTCAATATCTCCGTCAGCGTTACTGATAAATAATCTCTTTATTTGATCAACTTTATTTCTAACGAAATATAATAAAAAAATAAATTTTACAATTGTTAAATCATTATTAAATATTGTATTAAAATTTTGTAATTCCGGGTTACCGAGAAAATATACGTTTCGTTCAAATTACTTAACCAATGCACCTGTGGGCTGTGGTTTTGTTGACCGCACAAAACAGTCTATCTATTTGTTATAAAACTTACCCTTTACAATTTAATCAAAAATAGTTTCTTGAGGATTTGATGTACTATTAAACTTACATAGTCCATACAATTTTATTGACACTTGCCAAATGTAACAAAATATAATAAATAAATTGGCAGAATGTAAATATAATCTTGGTATTAAATTATTTGCTTCAGGAGTTATCCAGTAAATCAATACGGCTAATAACTTTAAGTTCATCATAAACTATTACTATTTACTACTATCGGTGTTGTAAATTTTTTAAAAAATATAAATACTTTCTTTTGTCACTGCAGAATAACTCTTTTATAAAATTAGATAATCTACAAGTAAAATAACGATCCCTTAACTTCTCTGCACTACACAATATCTCTTTTCTAAGAAGAAACAGAAGAAACAATAATTTTTTTTCAGTTGCTAATAAAACAGAATAACCAAGAAGACTTTCTTTTTAAAATTAATTAATAATTCAATATTGATCTTAATTGAATGTTTTTACATTCTAATAGTATAATAAAGTATTATCATAGGCTCTTAATCGAATCAATTAACATCGAACTTAATCAATGGTTCGATCACAAAATATTGGCTTTGATTAAAATTGAACTATCTCTTGATCAAACAAATTTGATAATTTGATTGATCAAACTTATCCGAATTGATCGATCATGAAAATCTGGTGCATAAAAAACTAATTTTTTTTTCTAATTTCTACATAATAAAATAAATTAAAGTAAAAATTAGAAATTTTTAATAAAAGTTCAATCATTTAAATTTAATGATCGATCAAAAATTGATTGCACGATTTTGATCGATCACGCACCTGCAAGATCGATCAAATTCCTCGATTGCAACTTTTTGATACCCTAATCTTTAAATATTAATATGGTGCATTTTTTTGCATAAATATAAATTTATATATATATTCTGAAATTTGTTTGTAGTTTGTATAACTTTCCATTTTATTCATTTATATTTTAAAGATTTGGCATTTTAGTTATTTATTTCTTTATGCGCCTATCAATCTTAATATCATTTTATACTTTATATAATCCTTGTTTATTTGTCATTACTCTTTTACCTGCATACTAAACATGGCCTACATTTTATGAAAAATTTTCTAATTTTTAAACGATTGGACATATTACTATTAAATTTTACGTAAAATTGTACAAAGACAAAAGATCGTCATAATTATATTACACAATAGTGTAACCCGGAAAAATATTTATTAACACTATTTCGAATGATCAACAATTAATTTTAGGTTTCCATAATTCCATAAAGAGTTTTTTTTTAACCATTTTTGTCGACAATTTTTTTTGTTTACTTAATAGCGCTATGTCTAATAATAACAATATTAACATTAACGAAATACAAAGTGAAGAAAATATAAAAGAATGTATTAATTGGATTGAAGAAGCTCTTACTAAGGAATATTTTAAATACTACGAATTCGAAAATTTTAAACATATTCAAGAAATTGGTTCCGGAACATTTGGAAAAGTTTACCGTGCAAATTGGAAAAATTTTGAACATTATTTAGCGTTAAAATCTTTTTTTAAGCCCAGTAATATCACCATAAAAGAAATTGTTAATGAGGTAAATTTATTGAAATACATAAAATAAAATATTTTATCTTTTCTTAATAATAATTATTATACATTCACAATTTAGCTTAAACTTCAACGAGATGTAAATTTTCATGCCAATATTATTCGATATTACGGAATTACAAAACTTGAATCAGGTATTTGATAAAATATTTAATAATTATAATTAAATTATATTAATTTAAACTTTTTTTTTTTTTGCAAAATCTAACAAAAATTTTATTTCCCTTTTTTTTTGTTAGAAAATAAAATTGATCAAACAAAAAATTATTTGTTGGTTATGGAATGCGCAGATGGTGGTACTCTTCGAGATTATTTGAAAAATAACTTTAATAGACTTACCTGGAAACATAAATATAACTTGGCTTACCAATTAGCTTGTTCTGTATCATTTCTGCATGATGAAGGGATTGTTCACCGAGACTTGGTAATCTTTTTATTTAATATAAAACGATAATATGTTTATTTCATAAAAGCTAATTTGCCTTTATTTGTACTAGCATTCCTGTAATGTGTTGGTTCATCAGAATTCCATCAAGTTGGCGGACTTTGGGCTATCAAAAAGGATTGACGAGGCATCTAATTCAAAATCAAAATTACTTGGTATGGTGCCCTATATTGATCCAAAAATATTATTGTTCAACAATTTAAAATTAAATGAGAAGAGCGATGTATATAGTATTGGCGTATTGTTATGGGAAATATCAAGTGGGAACCCACCATTTCATGAAGAATCAAATAAGTCTAGTTTAATGTATGAAATTTTGTATGGTCGAAGAGAAAAGATTATTCCTAATACTCTTAATGATTATTCTAATCTCTATACTGGTAAATATAATTTCAATATATTAAATATAACATTTTTTCTTACTATTCATCAAAATAATTATTTAGTCAAATTATTATTATTAATTATTAGAATGTTGGAAAGGTAAACCAAACAATCGACCATTCATGCATGAAGTTGTTGATAGGTTAGAAAATTTTATTTCAAATTTAAATAGTGATATTTCATCCGAGAATTCAAGCATAATAGTTAATGAAATAATTGATCTCATTTTTAAGGAAGTTAATAAAAGAAATGTGTCAAAACCACATGTTCTTGATTATATTACTAATCATAGTATAAATTCAAAAGAAATTTATAATAGGTTATTAAATAATCAAAATACTCCGAATTTCATTTTTTTACTTGGATATTTTAATTATGTAGGAATTGAAACAATTAAGAATCATGAAAAAGCATTTAATTTATTTATAAATGCATCTGAAGAGGGTCATATGTTAGCAAAATATTTGGTTGGACATTGTTATGAATTTGGAGATGGAATTATAAGAAATGATAAGCTTGCTTTTGAAAATTATGAAAAATTGGCTAATAAAGATTATGCAATAGGACAATTTAAATTAGGTTGGTTTTACAAAAATGGATTAAGTGTTAAAAAAGATTCAAAATTAGCTGTATATTGGTATGAAAAAGCTGCAAATAATGGAAATTTGATAGCTATGTCTAATCTTGGCCATTCATATAAAGATGGAAATGGTGTTAATAAAGATAACCAAAAAGCTTTTGAATTATTTAAAAAATCAGCTGAAGGAGAATTTTCAGGTGGAATAATGATGTTAGGATATTGTTATGAACTTGGTATTGGAATTGATATTGATAAGCAAAAAGCAGCTGAATTATACCAAAAAGCTGCAAATTTAGGACATAAGGCAGCACAATATAATCTAGCATTGATGTATGAAAAAGGAAACAGTATTGAAAAAGATTTGAATAAAGCAATTTATTGGTATGAAAAATCTGCTAATCAAGGAGATAAAGATGCTCAAAATAAATTAAACATACTCAAAATTTAGAAACAATTTATGTAGATTATTTAAAAAATATGTTCGTTTTATTTACATAGAAAAGTAACATTCCAAATTTGTAGTATTGTTTTTTAACAAAAATTATGGTTTAAATCTTGTATAATAAATGATTAATTTTTTTGTTAAAACGTTAAAATATTTATGATGACTCTAAAGAAATAAGTGATAGAACATTAGTAAAGGCAAATTACCAAAATTAAACTTATTTGTTTTGTATTGCTATTCGTCAATGGTTAATTCTACAAGAGCAATTGGCTAGTTTTTTTTTGAGCTAAAAGCTGTTTCTTGAGGACTTGAATTATCATTACTAAACTTATGCAGTCTATATAATTATAACTAAAAAGTTGTACAATGCCAAGCAAATGTAGCAAAAATAATAAAAGAATTAATTGAATTTGCAGAATGTAACATAGTTCTGGCATTAAATTATTTGCTTCAGGAGTTATCCAACTGAACATGGCTAATACTAACCTTAAGTCCATCATAAACTATTACTGCTATCCGGTGTGGAAGATTTTTTTTTAAAAAAAAATAAATAGTATTTCTTTGTCTCTCTCGTTTTCCTCATAATTCTATTAATTTAAAATAATCACCGCTAGATAATCTACAAGTCATACAATGACCCCTTAATTTCTCAACCAAGAAGAAGCAGAAGAAACAACAAATTTTCTTCAGTGCTAATAAAAAGAGAATAGCCAAGTCGTTAAATTATCTTTTTAAAAATTAATCAATACCGACAGTTTATTATGCAACTATCAGAGAATTCTTATCTTAAAAGTATATTGTATATGCTTCATATAGTCTTTATTTAGTATTCGTCCTTACTATTTTTTGCATGCTACACGAGATACATATTTTTGCGAAATTATTTCTAATTTTTCAAATGATTCTGGCCGCTTTTCCAACTTTTACATAAAGGTATAGTTAAAATGCATAACAACGTTTTTATTTTTATTAATGGTTATCAAAATATACAGTAGTTATTGAGTATGATATATACCTCCGATGGTTGTATAGTAGTATAGTGTAAAAAAACTATACTGTATAAATAAAAGCTATATACCGTATATAAATCGTATAAATAAAAAATTTTATCAGTCATTTACTAATTGGTGATTTATGTTATACAAACAGTTACTAAGCTGTATAAAAAAATGTAAGCCTGATAAAACAGTTACGGCACACGTGACCTCATAACTGCGGCACTATCGTGCCGAGTAACTATTAAATACTGTATAGATAAAAAATTATACTGTATGGATAAAAAATTATACTGTATGGATAAAAAATTATACTGTATAGATAAAAACTATACTGTATAGATTTTTGTCAACTATACTATACAACATCGGAGGTATATATCATACTCAATATCGTTTAACCGTATCAAAATGCATAACGATAAGATTGTATTGTGTAACTGGAAAATTATTAATAAACACTATTTCGGATAATCATCAAATAATTTTAGGTTTGTTACGTGACAATCTTATTTATACACAAGGGGTTTTTTTTCCGATTATTTCTGTCAACAAATTTTACTTCATTACACCATGTCTAATAATAACAATATTAACGAAATACAAAATAAAGAAAATACAAATGAATGGATCAATTAGATTGAAGAAGCTCTTACTAAAGAATATTTAAAATATTACGAATTTGAAAATTTTAAAAATATTCAAGAAATTGGTTCCGGAGCATTTGGAAAAGTTTTCCGTGCAAATTGGAAAAATTTTGAACATTATTTAGCGCTAAAATCCTTTTTTAATCTTAATAACATTACCGTAAAAGAAATTGTTAATGAGGTAATTTCTATTTGAATTTGCAATATTCTTCAATAATAATAATTTATTTTTGCGTATTATTTTTATATTTATTGTTTTTTTTTTTATAATACATTCATAATTTAGCTTAAACTACAACGAGATGTAGATTTTCATGGCAATATTATTCGCTTTTATGGAATTACAAAATTTGAGTCAGGTATTGATAAATTATTAAAATAAAATTTATTTAATTAAATTTATTTTTTCTTTTTTTTGCAAAAACTAATAAAACTTTGTTTCTTTTTTTTGTTAGAAAATAAAATCGACCAAACAAAAAATTATTTGTTGGTAATGGAATACGCAAACGGTGGTACTCTTCGAGATTATTTGAAAAATAATTTTAATAGACTTACTTGGACCGATAAATATAATTTGGCTTATCAATTAGCTTGTTCTGTATCATGTCTACATGACGAAGGGATCGTTCACCGAGACCTGGTAATCTTTTTTCTTAATATAAAATAATAATATGGTTATCATAGAAGCTAACAAGCCTTCATTTGTATAGCATTCCTGTAATGTGTTGGTTCATCAGAATTCTATCAGGTTGGCGGACTTTGGGTTATCTAAAAGGATCGACGAAGCATCTAGAACACGTTCAAAATTACTTGGTATGGTTCCCTATATTGATCCAAAAGTATTAATGAACAACAATCTAAAATTAAATGAGAAAAGTGATGTGTATAGTATTGGCGTATTGTTATGGGAAATATCAAGTGGGAACCCACCATTTTATGAAGAGTCAAATAAGATTGGTCTAATCTACGAAATTTCACAAAATCGAAGGGAAGAAATTATTCCTAATACTCCCAATGATTATTCTAATCTCTATACTGGTAAATATAATTTCAATATATTAAATACTGTATAAACATTTTCAAAATAATTGTTTGATTAAATAAATATTATTAATTATTAGGGTGCTGGAATGGTGAACCAATCAATCGACCAAATATACATGAAGTTGTTAATAGGCTAAAATTCATTTCAAATTCTAGTAATAGTGTAACAACTTGTCAACAGAATGATATATCTAACCAAACTAATTCCAAGTTAAGTGAAATTCTAACTCCTAGTAGTACTATAATTTCATTACATGGAGAATTATCTCAAATGATCGAAAGTTTTAATAATATGAATACAAATGAAATAGATATGATGACTAGTACAATTAAGCAAATTAATGATAATGTTTCATCTGAAAATTTAAGCATAATAGTTGACGAAATAGTTGATCTCATTTTTAAGGTGGGTAATAAGTGGAATGTGGTAGAACAGCATGTTCTTAATTATCTTAATAATCATAATATAAATTCAAAAGAAATTTATAATTGGTTATTAGATAATCAAAATATTTCAAATTTCATATTTTTACTTGGGTTTTTTTATTATGCTGGAATTGAAACGATTAGGAATCATGAAAAAGCATTTAATTTATTTATAAATGCATCTGAAGAGGGTCATATATTAGCACAATATTTGGTTGGACATTGTTATGAATTTGGGGATGGAATTATAAGAAATGATAATCTTGCTTTTGAAAATTATGAAAAATTGGCTAATAAAGATTACGCAATAGGACAATTTAAATTAGGTTGGTTTTATGATAATGGATTATATGTTAAGAAGGATCCAAAATTAGCAGCATATTGGTTTGAAAAAGCTGTAAAAAATGGAAATTTGGTAGCTATGTTTAATCTTGGCATTTTGTATATAAATGGAAATGGTGTCGATGAAAATCATCAAAAAGCTTTTGAACTATTCAAACAATCAGCTGAAGGAGAAGATTTAGATGGAATCATGTTGTTAGGAGATTGTTATAATGATGGAATTGGAATTAATATTGATAAGCGAAAGGCAGCTGAATTATATCAGAAGGCTGCAAATTTAGGACATAAAGTAGCTCAATATAATCTTGCTACAATGTATGAAAAAGGAGGCGGCATTGAAAAGGATTTAGATAAAGCAATTTACTGGTATGAGCAATCTACTAAACATATATGAAGATTAAGGAATTATAAGAAAAGTTAGAACCGAGTTATATAAACTTATTTTTGGTCTATCTATGAATTGTATCATTTTAATAGAAATATAATTTTTTATTTATTTAAATTATTTATGTAGCATTGGGTTTTTGTTTACAACAAAATCATTGTAATTTATAATATTTATAATAAATGATTAAATTTCTGTTTAATGTTTAAAATTGTTGTGCAATTTAAAAGAAAATGACAGAATGATAATGTTCTAACCTAAAATTAAAAATGAATAAACCAACAAATTTTATAAATTACCGTAACAATTACATTATCCTAAACACAAGTTATATAAAATTAAAATCTAAAGTATAATAACCATTAGTAACAAAATCTAAACTTCATTACTTTGTATATATATAATATCCATCACTAAATTATCAGGTAGTACAATGACCATCCTGGTCAAAATTGTAAATTTTACGCATAAAATTAACGAAAATACAGTATGTCAATAACTATAGTAACGAAACAAAAATTGATGGGTCATGTAATGGCGAATCATCCACTCCGAAACTTTTATAATAGCGGAAGAATAAATTAGATAGTTTTAGGTAGCTTGATTAGTTATAGGGCTAATTATAAATTTTATATTTATTTTTTTTTATTTTTTTTCTATGTATTTTTGAAAATCATGTAATCTATTTGATTTAAATAATTAATTGCATATTTTTATTCTCGTACTTTAACATTTTAAAGCATCAATGAGAAATCAAATGATAATGATATTACAAAATACCAATATATGAAAATTTTGATATTTCTGAAATGAAAACTTTATTAATAATATGTAATTTAACATTTTTATATTAGGTGATAAATTTATATAATCAGTTCTGGTCTGGACCGGTCCCCAAATTTTGGACCAAAGACCATGAGTACTGGTCCCAAGACCGATATAGGACTGGTCTTTGCTGGGACTGATCCAACCCTAGTTGTGATGGAAACTACAATCAAAAATATGCTATAATTTTCTTATAAATTTTTCATATTTATCATAAATTTTTCATCTATAATGTTTAGTTGATTAGATTTCTAAATAAACAATGTTCATACAGCAAATTTATTATTAAAATGCAAAAGCATCTTAAAACATTAAGCAGAATAAACAAATTTTAATTAACAAAAAATTTAAGATAATGAAATTTTATTTATAAATAACATTCCCATTGGAAATACTAAAACTAAAGATTAGATCCAGTATTTAATATTCAGATTTAAATCCAAATATCAAAAGAAATCAGATATAATAAATCTGGATGGAAAAAAGGAAACCAGATTTATCATATCTAACTAAAACTAATTTGATTTTATATCTAAATATAAGTTTCTTTCAGATTCACATTTAAAATTTTTAATTTTCCTCTTCTTTTTATTAATTAATCTTCTAATATTTCTACAATACATTAGAATTCTTTGAATATAATAATTTTATTTATGTTCAGTGTTAAAAAGTCAAAAAATGAAACTGGTAAAAAATATTTGGAAAAAAATTTTAAGGGGAAAGGGGCTCAAAAAAGGTGGTAAATTAATAAGAAAATGTTGGATCATCGATTCAAAGACATAATATTGTTGTACAGGTTCTTTCTTTAATTAAATAATACGTTGAGATATATCATATGGCCTCATGTCATGTTGTACCGATATACATCTCTAGTAATGATTTGCTGAGTTGCTAATGTAAAAATTTTTTTTTTTTTCCCTAAAATAAATTACTATGATATTATTTGGGTTTTTTGTTTTGTAAAATTAATAAGCATATAAATATTGCATTATTTCAACAATTAAAAGTATTTTATTAGATGTTACAGATGACCAATAAATTTATAATTTGTGTAACTTATCATGCATTATTGACGTCTCACAATAAACACTTGATTTCTAGAGTGATCGGTTATTTATAAATATGGTAAATAATTTATAAACAGAATGAATAATTTATATAAGATACATAATTATTTGAAATATTTTTTTCTCTAAAATTTGAAATTAATGCTAATGTATAGATTTTTCTAATATAAATTGTATTATGTGTTAATATTTAATATAACAAATATTCAAAATATTCAAAAGCAACATTTATTTCAATCATTATCCATGTTTATATACTATATAATTTAATAATGAAATATGTAATAATTAAATTTTGTAAAGACTGTTAGCTATTTTTATTTTTTTTATTTATTTATTTATTTGTTTTTTTTTTTTCTTTCTGTGATCAATTATTAGAAATTATCACACAGCTAATTTGACAAATCTGAATAAATTTTAAAAAAAATTTCTAATTTACATACAAAATTATCTTGACCTTTATATAGAAATTTTTTATGACTATTACATAATTTTTGTTACATATAATATATAAAATAGAAAATTGCTAACCGTCGCCTGGGCCTGGGACCTCGATCACGTGACAGATTTAATATTTTTGATTGGCCAGATTGGCCACATGATCGCGTCATGTTTATTTGTTTATCGAATCTCGTTTTTCAGTTTTTTCGGTCTGTTTTTTCGGTCTCAAGGTATTTTTCTTTTCTTTTATTTTTATTTCTAACTTACATTCTGGTTTCTTACTACTCTGTTTCATTATTTTTAGGTCCTTTAGTCCTTCCGGTTCTGTAATTAAGGTTCAGTTGTTTTTCACTTTACGTTTCGTTTCTTTATTTTTTATTATTTTTATTTTGTTTCTGTTTCATATTTCGGTTTTCAACGATTTTATTTAGATATTTTAGTTCTTTCGGTTCTACAATTAATAATGGTATGTTTTTTTATTTTATTTTTTTATTTTTTTTATTTCGTTTCTATCTTATATTTCGTTCCTTACTAAACTTCAATTTTTTTTACTTTATCTGTTATGGTTTTATTTTTTACTTGGTTTCATCATTACCCAACCTCCTATCATGATCATTTTAATTTTTTATTTTTTGTATTACTTCTCATTATTCCATCCTTTCGTCTCCCATTATTTTCTATTACAACTTTTCATTTTCTATTATCTCTATCTTTTTCTCTCCTGTTTACTTCCCATCATTTCCTTTTGCCTCTCATCACTCCTTTTCGTCTTCCATCAACTCCTCTTCATCTTCCCATCACTTCTTTTCGTCTCCCATCGCTCATTTTCGTCTTCCATCACTTCTTTTCGCCTCCCATCACTTCTTTTCGTCCCTCATCACTCCTTATCGTCTCCCATTACTCCTCTTCATCTTCCCATCACTCCTCTTCATCTTCCCATCGCTCATTTTCGTCTCCAATCACTCCTTTCGTCTTCCATCACTAATATTCGTCTCCCATCACTTCTTTTTGTTTCTAATCACTTCTTTCGTCTCCCATCGCTTCTCTTCATCTTCCTATCACATCTTTTCGTCTCCCATCACCCCTTTTACCTTTAATCACTCTTCTTCGTCTCCCATCACTCCTTATCGTCTCCATCACTTCTTTTCATCTTCCATCACTCATCTTCATCTTCCCATCACTTCTTTTCGTCTTCCATCACTCCTTTTTACCTCCCATCACTCCTTTTAATCTCTCATCATGTCCTATTTCTCCTTTTTGTTTCCTATCACTTCTCATTATTCTTTTTCATCTTCTATTACTTTCCATTACTCCATTGTTGTTTCATTTTTTTTATTAGCATCTTTCTCCTTGATCATTGTAATTTACTTATTTTTTTTTATTTATTGTTATTGTTTTTTTTATTTGTATTGCTTCATTAAAAATAAATACGGTGATTTTTTTCTTTAAGATCGTAAATGTGTGACTTAAATTTTAATATTTGTAAATAAAAATAAAATTTCATTAAAATAAGATTTATTTTGAATAAATGTGTTTGCAAAAAATTTTTTTAAAAAACATCTTTGCAATAAAATTTTAAGTTTAACCAATCAAAAGTTAAAAAAATCAGCCATCAGCCGATTTACTATATATTGTACATCATGTGACATATTTGAAAAAAAACCCAGGCAACAATCGCCCAGGCGACGGTTAGCAATTCCCTATAAAAAATATTTTTATGGATGGTTTCAAAATTATAATACTACTTTTGTGATATATAGTTGATATTATCATAAATTTTTTTCCAAAAAAATTTCTTGCATTTTTGGCATTTTCTGAACAAATTTTGTTTAGTCAATGTTATTTTTACTTTTCCATGGGACAATAGAACAAATCTTGTTATATTACATAATCGTCTAGCCAGCGGAATTAAAAGATTATTATGCGGAACGTCCACCACGTGTCTGTCTAAGGTCAGGCCAGAGAAACGGCTGCCTTGGCTCTGGTAGCTCACCACCCTCGGGCACAATCGAGCTATCATGACCAATTGGTAGACCATTAGGTCGCAAAACTGGGGGGAGTAATCCTTCCCATATAAAAAAGGAATGTTTAGAATATATACGTAAAATATACAATATACATAAAATGTCTATAGAATATCCATAAAATATATAAAAAATATACAAAATGGGCTCACTGTATATAAAATGTACAAAAAAGTATATGAGTCCCCTTTGCATATATCCTATGTATTTTATGGACATTCTATAAACATTTTATGTATAATGTACATTTTATGTATGTTTTCTGAACATTCCTTTTTTATAGGGTTCTGATAGCCGAAATCATGCTTTCATCCTTACTTTGGTGGGTCCTGGCGTTCTTAGAACTCCCCGTTTCCCGTTCCATTTTTACCACCAAGGTGACACCTTGTAGCGGTTTGGTTTTCAATTTTCGAATTGCTATTGATTTTGTTTTAAAGTCTTTGTAATTTTTACTGTAACTTCGTTCACTTCGTGAAATAAAAATAAAAATAAAATATTACACAACCAGATTATGTTGTGTAACCTGGAAATTATTTACAAACACTATTCCGAATAGGACCCAGAAATATATAAACTCCCCCAGCGTAACAGTCAAAAAAATCTTGGGCACGTGATTCATGTGATTTGACTGCGGCTAAGTGTGGCTATGGAAATTGCAATACGCAGTTATTGCTAAATTAACTTCCTAAAGTCAACACTAACTCCAAAAGTAAAAGTTTCGGCCTAAACTAACCTTCCTTACCTAACCCTAAGATACTCCAATGTCTACGTTATTTTCAAGGATAAGTATTTCCGCCTAAAACAACTTTCCTTACCCTAACCCTAAGAAACTCCAACATCAATTTATCTTCAAAGATAAGTATTTCAGCCTAAAGTAACTTTCCTTACCCTAAGATACTTCACTCCAAAGATGATTGCTTGAGAATATAATGAAATTTTATAGATATTAATTCATAAGAGTAAAACAAATTCTTTTAAATTAATAAATTATTGTAATTATTTTATTTAATATTAATTTGACAATAAAATTTATTCAATTTTAATTTATTAAAATACATTAATTTAAAATAAATTATTTTAAATAATGAGTGCTATCAATATGCCTTCCATGTTAATGACATGGTTCACTTATTTTGCCTTACTAATTTTTGATGCAGACTAGTTTTGCTTTTCTAGAAGAGAAGGTAGCATTAATTAGGCTGTCAAATAACAGTTGCAAATTAGTTTGTTGAACTGGTATTATTGCTTACTTGGTGATTTCCAAGATATTAGGTTTATTCTACATATTTCATATATTTCTGCAAGTAGCTATTGTAAATAAAATAAGCCAACTTTTTTTTTTAAAAATAAAAATTTGTATTCTTTGGTATTGGTAATGTAGACGCGAAAAGAAAGGAAAGCTTTAAATAATAGCTTAAATAATACGCGATAAATATTTAAATAGATCAGTTGCCACAAACTGCACCGTATGTAACAAAATCACATGCCCAAAAATCACATGCCCGAGCTTTTTTTGATGGTGTTACTGGGGAAGATGAAATATATATATAGGGTCAGGTGATGAGAAAAATTTTTTACTATGAACTGTACGCATTTTTTCAGGGCCGGAATTATGATAATGTCAGTCGGTTACTATAATAGGAAATAAAATTCTGACTGGTATTATCTAAAAAAGGAAAGATTTTCATGACTTTTTTAGTTCAAAACTTCAAATACGCCTTTTATATATAGTGCTTCGATCCGGATGAAATCCGTCATCCGGATTACACAAAAAAAAAATCCGGATTATATCCAGTTTGATCCGGATTGAAATCCGGGTCAGAAATCCTTGTGAAATCCGGAATCCTGATCAGATTTCATATATAAAATTTTTTAGATTGCATATGACGATCCATATTAGAGATAATGGTACTTATTAATACAATTTGGTAGGTTTTTTTAAATTTTGTAGCCTTTTTTCCGATTTGATTATTGAATTTGAATTAGCTTATTTTATCATAATTCGGGCCGGCACTATTAATTTGGCCTGAGTTACAAATTTTATTCAAATTTTGATAAAATCAGGCTTAAAAAACAATATCGCTTCTTAAATTATGATTTTACTTAATAAGATTAATAAAAATGTAAAAATAATTTTCACTTTAATTATATTAAATAAATTAATAATAAATAAATAATTTTTTACTAATCATCAATTTATCGTTGTTCATGACAAAATTTATATATTACAAAATTATTTATCAGTTGCGAAACTAATAGACTATTTATTTATTACAAAATCTATAAAAAATATTAGAAAAAATTTTTTTTTTCTATCCAGATTCCGGATGAATCCGGATATTTTTCATCTGGATCAAAATCTGGATCAAAACCGGATATCCGGATGAAAAAAAAATCCGGATTCATCCGGATTCATCCGGATGGACTAGAAACGGATCGAAGCACTATTTATATATATATTTCTGGGTCCTTTCCAAATGATCATCACAAATTTTTTAACGAAATGCAAAATGAGACTGATACGCCACAGTCGCCACACTGCCACACAAAAAGTCACGTGCCGGTGATTTTTTGGACCATACATTTACTAATTTGATTATATGGAAATTTATTTATAAGAACTATTCTGAATGATCATCAATTAATTTTTGACCATAAAGAACCATTTTTGTTGATAAAATTTTTTGGTTTACTTCATTGCACTATGTATAATAAAAACCATTTTTGCAAAATCCAAAATGACAAAAATAACAATGAATGGGTTGATTGGATCGAAGAAGCACTTGCTAAAGGATATTTTAAATATTACGAGATTGAAACGTTTAAAAATATTCAAGTGATTGGTTCCGGAGCATTTGGAAAAGTTTATCGTGCAAATTGGAAAAATGTTGAACGTTATTTAGCGTTGAAATCTTTTTTTAATCTTGATAACATCACCGTAAAAGAAATTGTTCATGAGGTAAATTTATTATTAAAAAAAAAAAAATTTTTTTAAATTGTACATTTCTTTTAAATACATTTTATATTTTCTTAAAAATCCATAATATAGCTTAAACTACAACGAGATGTAGATTTTCATGGCAATGTTATTCGCTTTTATGGAATTACAAAATTGGAGTCAGGTATTGATAAATTACTAAATTCATAATATTTACTTAAAATTTATTTTTATTTTTATTTTTTTTTGCAAAAACTAATAAAACTTTATTTCTTTTCTTTGTTAGAAAATAAAATCGACCAAACAATAAATTATATGTTGGTAATGGAGTACGCAGACGGTGGTACTCTTCGAGATTATTTGAAAAATAATTTTAATAGACTTACTTGGACCGATAAATATAATTTAGCTTATCAATTAGCTTGTTCTGTATCATGTCTACATGACGAAGGGATCGTTCACCGAGACCTGGTAATCTTTTTTTTTAATATAAAATAATAATATGATTATTCATAGAAGCTAACTTGCATTTATTTGTATTAGCATTCCCGTAATGTGTTAGTTCATCAGAATTCTATCAGATTGGCGGACTTTGGGTTATCTAAAAGGATCGACGAAGCATCTAGAACACGTTCAAAATTACTTGGTATGACTCCCTATATTGATCCAAAAGTATTATTGAACAACAATTTAAAATTAAATAAGAAGAGCGATGTGTATAGTATTGGCGTATTGTTATGGGAAATATCAAGCGGGTACCCACCATTTCATTATGAGCCAAATCAGGTTAGTTTAATCTATGAAATTTCACAAAATCGAAGGGAAGAAATAATTCCTAATACTCCATATAATTATTCTAATCTCTATACTGGTAAATATAATTTCAATATTAAATACTGTATAAACATTTTTCAAAATAATTGTTTAATTAAATAAATATTATTAATTATTAGAGTGTTGGAATGGTGAACCAATCAATCGACCAAATATACATGAAGTTGTTAATAGGCTAAAATTTATTTTAAATTTTAGTAATAGTATAACAGCTTGTCAACGGAATGATATGAATTATATGTCTAACCAAACTAATTCCAGGCTAAGGGAAATTCTAACTCCTAGTAGTACTAAAATTTCATTACATGGAGAATTATCTCAAATGATCGAAAATTTTAATAATATGAATACAAATGACATAGATAGGATGACTACAAATAGACAAATTAATGTTAATATTTTATCTGTGCAATTAAGCATTGTAGCTAAAGAAATAGCTGATCTTATTTTTAGGGAAATTAATGTAAGAAATATGGTGAATGAGAAACATGTTTTTGATTGTCTTAGAAATCATAATGTAAATTCAAGAGAAATTTTTGATTGGATATTAAATGATCAAAACAACCTAAATTCCATTTTTTTACTTGGATATTTTTTTTATTGTGGAATTGAAACAGGTAGGAATGAGTATAAAGCATTTGGTTTATTTAATTATGCGTCGGGACAGGGTCATTTATTAGCACAACGTTATGTTGGAGAATGTTATGAATTTGGAAGAGGAATTACAAAAAATGAAGATGTAGCTTACGAATATTATAAAACATTGGCTCGTAAGGGTTATGCAATGGGACAATTTAAATTAGGTTGTTTCTTTGAATACGGATTAGTTGTTAGAAAGAATCTAGAAATAGCTGCATATTGGTATGAAAAAGCTGCATATCATGGAAATTTGGTAGCTTCGAAAGCTCTTGGTTATTTATATATGGTTGGAAATGGTGTTGATGAAAATCATCAAAAGGCTTTTGAATTATTCAAAAAATCAGCGGAAGGAGAAGATTTAGATGGAATTGTGTTGTTAGGAAATTGCTATAGTGATGGAATTGGAATTAGTATTGATAAGCCAAAAGCAGCTGCATTATATCAGAAGGCTGCATGTTTAGGACATAAGGTAGCTCAATATAATCTTTCTATAATTTATGATGAAGGAGTCGGTATTGAAAAAGATTTAGATAGAGCGATTTACTGGTATAATCGTTCTAAAGAAGATGTTTCTTTTGATGATGATAATCATTCTTCCGTATCTTTTTCATCTAATTCTAACGATAATACTGATGATGATAACGATAATTATGATGATGATGACGGCGAAGAGAGTAACCATTACCGTATTCAACGCAACCCCGAAAATAAGCAACATGGGCGGAATTATGGCATTTTTTTTGGCCCGCATTACTAAATCTTGGCTCGCATTACGTGCAAAAGTTGTTGCTTATTTTCGGATGAATACGTATTATAGATGCCTCTAAATTGATTTTTAGAGCCGATTCTCAATTTTCGTTCTATTAATGAATTTGTATCATTTGTATAAAAACATAAATTTCAATTATTTGAATTATTTATGTAGCATTGTATTTTTGTTTAGAATAAAATTATAATTATAAGATTTATAATAAATGATTAAATTTCCTGATTTCCATTAAATGTTTTAAAATTGTTGTGTGGCATTTTAAAAGAAAATAATGACAGAATGTTAATTTTCCAACTAAAATTAAAAATAAATTGATTAAATAGTCAACAAACTAACTTTATTAATTGCCGATCCGCCTAAAAACGGCACTGCGTTACTAATAAAATTCGGGGATAATAGCGATAATAAAAAAAAGCATTTTTTGCATCTCGCGCGCGAAATAAGTTTCACCCATTTTACAAACAGAAATATCATAAAAACAATATTTTCTTTCATTTTATGACAAGTCATATTTGCCAAAAAATTTTATAATTATATTTCTGTAACTGGTTTTCTTCAACTTTCACTTGTTTTTAATAATAAAAATATTTTAAAAAAGCTTTTAAAACCAACTTTAGAAGCTAAAAATTATAGGTTTTTATTGTAAATAATGCAATATAGTAAAATGAAATATTGAAATTTCGTATATTTTAAGGTGTAAATCTGACGCGCGCGCATAGTAAACTCATTATTTTGCATACGAATGTATAACTTTTTTTTGCAAATTCGTTTTTTTCAAGTATTTTTTCAGTATATCATATGATTTTTTTTTTATAGTCAATATGTCATCTATGAGATATCCTTTTTTGAAGTTTGTGTTCTAGCACAAAATCGGCAAATTTAACCCCGAATTTTATTAGTAACGCAGTGCCGATTTTAGGCGGATCGGCAATTAATTAAATACCGTAGTTCTTAGACGCTGTATTTTATGTCTAATTACCTCGTAACAATTACATTGTCTTAAACTTGGTATTACTATTGTTATTACACTTAAGATTTTAAATTTCATATAACATTACTTTGTTATGTATAACTAATTGGTACTAAGTTTTTTGAGCCAAAAAGCGGTTTTTTGACAAGGATTTGATGTAATCATAATTTTGATAATTTTTGCTTCAGTAATTGTCCATGTAAAAGTACTTACACTTTACAGTTAATATAGCTAACTTTAAATCCATCATAAATTAACATTCTTAACATCATTCTATCAGATGTTGTAAATTTTGTTTAAAGAAAAAAAAATAAAAAAAAATTATCCAGTAATTTTTTCTTTAAAAGAAACACGGAAATTTCCGTAATAATTATCTTACGGAATTAACTCATCCGCACTTTATTTTATCCAAACTGGTATTTATATAAATGTGACATCCATTTTTAGCTAACAGTAACTTACTATATTTGGATAAATGTAAGAAATCATTGACTGTTGCAAAATACATTTTTAATAGTCCAAAGACAGCTAATTTGATATTAATTTATTATTTATCGGATTAATATAAATGTAATAGACGTTAACTAATTTAGAAAATTATTTTGAGTTTAATGAAATAAGTAAATTATCAAATCATGGACGCGCGATTCCTTTAATGAGTTTAATGTGTAATATGATAATAACAGATGGCATCTGCCAATTTCGTATAATACTATATTATAATTATAATTAATGTTAATTAATAAAAAAACCCCCGAATAAAATTTTACTTCCAAATAATGGGATCTACCGTTAGTATACTCTAATAATAAATAAAATTTCTTTCATTTTGACCATTTTGATTTTCTAAAGGAAATAATTGATCAATTAAATTAAAAGCACATTTAAAAAAATTTTGCGAATTTGTTTTTCAACTAATAATAAAACCTCTGCATTAACTTTATTAATACTAGGAAACGGTAACCGTTGGTGCGTCCGAAGCGTCATAAATCACATGTTCATAAATTTAAACTATAAAATGTAATACTAATAATGTAACACTAAAAATGTAACACTAAAAATGTAGTAAAAAAATGTAACGCTAAAAAAAGTAATAGTATCACTAAAAAAATGTCATTTTATTATCATACTTTGTATTACGTTGCAAATTTTCAATTTATTCCCATGATTGTCAAAAAAAAAAAATAATTATTAATGTGAATTTTGAAGAGTCATTAACCTTGATTCTTCTTCTATTCTTTCTTCTAATCTTTTGAGAGATTTGATGCGCTGGAGTCTTTCAAAGGAAAATGGGCTAAAGAGAATATCTTTAAGAGCACAGACTCGTGAAATAGCCACGAATGATTGTCCAGCTGCATACTCCTTTTTTCCAATATCTATCACCGCTTTTTGTAAAGTTAAACCCTGACTTTTATGAATAGTAATAGCCCACGCAAGGCAAATAGGTACTTGCAAGCGTGAGCAAGTTACTTTTTTCCCCTCCCAACTGTATCTAATTGGTGAAACCGGCACAAGCCTTTTACCTTCTTCAGTAACAATAGCCGGCCCATAATAATTGTCAAATTCTATAAGAACAGCAATAGGAAGTGAAGGAGGGGACTGGTTTTCTTCGAATATGATTTCTTGGACAGTACCCAACGATCCATTGACCAAACCAACTTCTGTCCATAAGTTAATCCTAAGCATAACTCTTGCTCCTCTTGCCAATAATAATTGAGCCTCAAGTCCTTTTGCCAGCTCAGGATCAGCTTTACTCGTCTCTTTACCTCCTGTATGGATAGCTTTGATTAGAGCAACAGGACAATTTAACGATTTAAGCTTATTAACATTAAATTCAGCAACATCGGACTTCCGATACATGATACATATGGCATCTGAGAATTCTGCTGATGTAATATTTGTTCCGTTGCTGAATTGAGTAGTAAGTTCTTTCCAGTCATCTAGTGTTGATTCACCATCACGCATTCGCAATAATATGGCTCTAAACTTGCGCTGTACATCCGAATCACCTGACTGACGTTGAATAACATCGAGCTTATAAACTTCACGGAACTGTCTATATGTCTTGATACCTTCATTTGACAATGTATCTCGAGAAATTTTTGAGTACATTGGTTCATCACGTACCGGCGGAAGCTGGCCAAAATCTCCAACCAATATTATTGAGCGTCCACCAAAGACTTTATTTTGTTTCTGAGGGAAAGCTTGGCGTAATCTCATGTTGATTAAGGCAAGCATACGACGCCCTACCATACTTTTTTCATCTATAATTAAATATTCTACGCCTTCTAATTTTTTCTGTAACTTTTTCAGGCGTTCACCATTTAGATCTAGCTTATTGTTGGATATAGGAATTGAAAGCGCTGAATGTATTGTTATGCCGCGAATGTTGAAGGCCGCTACTCCGGTTGGCGCAAGCACTAAAACAGGTGAATGCTCAGTTATATTGTTATTTCTTGCAATTTCTTGCAAACGAGATCGAATCATATTAATTAAATACGACTTTCCAGTGCCTGCAGTTCCCATTACAATAACATTGAGCGCGTCAACGTTACCAGGATTCAATATTAATGCTTGATAATGAGATTCAACTCGCTCAAAGATTATTTTTTGTTTTTCATTTAATGTATGGGGGTCTACAACACGATCAGTGACATTATCATTCTGTTCAACATACAAATTACGAGCATTTTGTATGAAATTGGGAGAATCAGCAAGATCAATATTGGTATAACGCTGTCTAACATCGCCAACCCAGTCATAATTTCTATCAATCTCACGTAAACCCAATTCAGAAGAACCTTCTAAAATCGCGTCCGGTCTCATTTCTGATAAGATCATCCAGTCAGGCCGCTGTTCTTCATCATCATCAAATTCCTCGTATTCGTAATCACTATCTTCATCATTTGATTCGTTCTCTAAGTTATCTACTGGAGGACCAAGTATGTCAACAGGATCGTTTTCAATTATCTCACGATGGCGATAATAGAGTTCTGACCATGATATAGTATTGTTTTCGGTTAATTGGGAAAGGTCACGATGGCACACATGAAGAAGAACTTTTACACGGCAAAATTCTTCCCATTGAGGTCCATCAATCTGAGGTGAAGGTCGTGGCCAAATACGAACTATATTTTCTTTTTTACATGGTTTCCACTGACCTTTCCAAAAGTTATATTGTAGGTGAAGCCGGAAAAGTGAAACATCATCAAGTTCAGCAGGACAAACCCAGTACTTTTGCAAAGGAGACTGTACTGTTTGGCCAACTTCACTATCGGCCAAAAATGATTCTTCGTTGTTGTCTCCCGTTCCACAAAGCCATCGATGCGTTAATTTGTTAAGGTTTAAAGTGACAAACCGGCGACTTGAATGATATAAAGGAATATTGAGCAGCAGATGGCAAGTTTCCTGTGCCGAAATATCACGTTCAGCGACAGTATGGAGTAATAAACCTTGGAAAACAGGCAAAGACGAAGCATCAGGAGCATTTTCGTTGAGAATCTTGTTCAAGATCTCAGAAAAAGCGGCTGAGCGTGGTTCCGATTTGCTGGCGTACTTTGACACGTACTGTAAAGCCGTATTCATGCTGAGTATCGGTTTTAAATCAACGTTCGCTCGCCAACCTTGGAGTTGCAATCGATCATGAGGGTTGACATACTCATCGTTTCTTGCCGTTATTAACTCAGGTTGTCCTTTATTATCTCGTAAGTACGTGTCATTAGTGATCTCTTTTGGATAACCAAATCTGCAAATATTTTTACCTGCGCGATCCACACGAAGACAATACGCAGGATTACATCTAGTATGACGCTGCAGTTTGTTGACTAACTCAATGTAATCTTGCAGGTCATCACTCAATTCTTCAGGGCTTTTTTTACAGGGATGTTGAGCAGGCACAGGTGCGTCTTGATCAGGATTCTTTGTTGTAACTAATGAATCTAGGTAACGCACCACATTATTCATCATGTCTTCATCTTCCTTCATTTTTTCCCAATCAATAGATGGAGCATCCTTCCTTTTCCCAATGCCATGAACATGAGGGCTGCCGCGGTGCTGCCACTCAAATCTATACCAATAATCTTCAAGATTCCATTTGGGAATTAACACTTTTTCTAAGAACAATTTGAAACGTTTTTCGAAAAACCAAGCGGAAATGTGAGGATTCTCAATCAAATCTTGTCGCCTATATCTATCAGCATCCTCTACATCCCCATGCGGCATAAGATTGTGTAACTCAGGCCAATGTAGGTCGGCTGCGCTGAATGTAAAAAATATCATTCCTTGTGATCCTAATTGCCTTATCATATCAGCAAGCTCATATCGCCTCTTTGTCCAAAACTGTCTAGTTCCACGTAAGGCTTCCCCAAATCTTACAATTCTGTCAGCCATGTGATTGTCTTTTTCTATCATCTCTTTTATTTCTTCAACGGTATACTGCTTATCATCTAAAACTTGCTTAACATATACTTTTGCTTCTTGCAGCGCCCTCCATCGCATTTGCGAATTTAACGCAAAATATCTCCAACGAGGATGACTGGCAAATCTTCCATCCTTATATTTAAGTAAATGCGAAAAATATTCGGAAGGTTTAACCTCTCTAACGTGATTAGAACGAAGATCTCCATTCCCGGTTGGATACAAAGTAGGGAAGGCACATGCAATATAACCGGGTGTTTGAAACTCATTGATAGGAGTTCCATCTATACTTGGCCACATAATAGGAAGATCATTATCTTGCATCCTGTTAAGAGTGTCGCCGATGGCTTGTTCTTCATTAGGTGATGGAAGTGGAGCAGGAACAAAGTTACTCCCTATCATATCTTCATAAACATCGTCATCATCGTTAAAGTGTTGTTCCACATCGTCAATTTGCGGAAGCTGATCATCAATTGGTCCGTCTTCAGGTAAGGATTGCAATACTTCTTCATCAATAACAATATCAGTATAATAACGATTATTTTGTTTTAGCCAGCAAAGTGCGCGAGTGACCTTAGTGCGATGAACAGTGAAATTTTTGTATATCAAACTATTTGCAGATTTACGACGCACAATGAGAACGTCAAGAGAAGACGGATTTCTGGGGAGCTGTGTTGCAAATTCTTCCACGTTTTGTGGAAAGTTTATAACATTACCACGATAAGCATACTGACCACCACGAAGACAATATACTGAAACAATAGGAAAGATCCTTGCAATCAACATTTCCTCTATTTCTGTAAGATCACGTAATTCTTCTGGCACATCACCAGGATCCATATTGTTATCGGCAGAAAACTTTTTAACAGTATTTTTGTCATAGTAACAGCGACGACATTGTCCACTTATAATTTCGATGGATGGAAATCGTTCATTACACACTGGGCAACAATTATTTACGAAGCTATTAATCTTAGTGCGAAATTCATGTAGGAGTTTCCTATCAGCTTCAGAAAGTCGAGATTCGTCAGAATCATCTTGCGTTGGTTCATCCTGTCTGTTGAGTTGCTCTTCAATATTTGATAGAGCAAGCCTTTCTTTTCTTTTCATATGGTAACGTTCACGTCTTTTTTGCAATCGTATTTCACGTTGTTCTGCAGTCTCAGTTGCTCTTTTTACGCGTTTATTCTCTTTGTCCTGAGCCAGTCTATTTTCACGTTGCTCAACAGTTTCATCCGATCTGTTTTTTCGTTTTCGTAATGTATCACGAAGTGGCTGGGAAACCATTTGATTTACGATTTTACAAGCAATTAATATCAACGAAAACAACACAGCAATAAAAAATTCAGTGGTATATAATATTTATGAATACAATTGTTTTATTTTTTATTTATTTTTATTTTTATTTTAATTTTTAATTAAAAAAAACAAATACATTGTAAAAATTATAAATAATAAAAAAAAATTAATTACTATTTTTTGAATGCCGTAAAAAACTTTTAAGAAATAACTTAAAAGAATTTTAAGTAAGGGATGAAAAAAAACAAAATAATAAAATTAAATTTTTTGAAGATATTTTTAACGTGTAAACAGTCATGTGTCATGTGATTTTATAAAGATATTTTTAGAATCAGGGGCATAAAGATGCACGTAAACAAATCTAATGTTACACCTGATCCTTAGATTTTATTGGCCATACACGCGTGCGGACAGACACCAACATGCATGGTATGGAGTAGTATGGAAGTGTCCTACGCTTACGCTTCTGACAATAAAATTTTTATTTTATTTTTTTTTTTCTTTTTATTTTTTTTTTATTTTTTTTATTGTATTTTGTTTTTTATTATTTTTAATATATTTTTTTTTTTTTTATTTTTTCTTTTTTGTTATTTGTTTTTTTTTTTTTTATTTCATTTTATTTATTTTTTAATTTTTTTTTTTTTCTTTTTTTTTATCATTTATTTTATTTTTTATTTTTTTTTTTTTCTTTTTCTTTTTTTTTTTTTTTCTTGTTTTTTATTTTTTAATTCTTTTATTTATTTTTTTTTTTTTTTTTTTTTTATTTTTTATTTTTTTTTTTTTTTTTTTTTTATTATTTTTTATTTTTTCTATTATATTTTTTTTAAAATATAAAATTTTTTTTTTTCTGAAAATTTAAAATACTAAAATATATTTAACGTCTCAATAAGTTTATTAAAATTTCTTTAATTAACTTTTTTATTTAACCAACTTTGTTCTAACAGATAAAAAGAGTAATCATATACAGTACATGTACTTGACTTCGGAAAGAAATTAATTTTACATATTTTGTTACAATCGTTATTAAAAATTTTGTAATTCTGTAAAAACGAATAATATTCAGTTATTTCAGTATCATAACAATCTACGGTTTCGTTAACGTTAAAGCTAATGCTGATCTTCGTTATACTTATTTATTTAAATATAGAAAAGAAAAAGTTAACTAAAATATATAAGAAAACTGCGAATTACGACGACAATGCTTTTATGTGCGAAAAGGAATTGGAATTGAATAAGACGTAGATTAAGAAATTTATTGGTATGAACAATCTGCTAAACAAGGTATCAATATGCTAAAAATCGATTAATATATTTAAAATTAGAAATAATTCATGTAAAACTAATTAAAAAATATTTATAAATTGTTCTCTTACGTAACTTCTCAGATTATTTAAAATATTGGTATGTAATTTTCTACTAAAACATTTAAAATTGATGTGTCTTTTGAACTGACCGACCGGTTGACAATCATTTTAAACAAATGAAGTACCTAAAGAAAAAATAATTTTAATTTTTTTTTTAAAAAATGATACATATAAAAGTTATTTAACATTCTGGCTGACAAATTGTTGTTCAGATCACACAGTTGGTGATGATCATGTGCTACAACCCCCGTAAAAATTCCGCAACATCACTTCCCGTCTTCCCGTGATGATCCAATAAATTTTATTGGGTCATATTTGTTTGTGTACCATTTATATTGGAAATTTCCACGATTTTTTTTAAAAAAAGAACAATTAAAAGGTCAAAAGAATATTTACAATGCAATTCTTGTAAAATGTTTCGTTTCGTTTACAAAATTTACTATTAATTTTTTTTAGGGATATCTTATTTATTATTTTTAAAAAATTTAGTTTTAAAAAAGATTTAGTATTAAAAAATTGTTTTTTTTAAAAAAGAAAATTTATACTTCAAAGTCATGTTTAATAACAACTGGTTTTCTTGTGAGATACTAAAATTAAATAAATACATTATTTTAATGTAAATAAGGTAAAATATATCCTTTATTATATATTCTTGTCGAAAGTTTTTCGTTCCAAGTTTTCAATAAAAACGGTATTTTAGTATGTATTTTAATATTATCAACTATACAATGAATAAGATAAAATAATATTTATATATAGCAAATGGAAAAACTGTAGACGATATTTATGGTAAAAGGGCTGAAAGGAGCGGAAAAACGTATCTTTGTACTTTAGTGAAATGTCACATCTGATCATCACGGGAAGTGATATTACGGGATTTTTTTCGGGTGTTACTTTGAATAACGCCTATGTAACGCTATCCCTGCCGCGGATGGACTTCAATGTTTGTTACTAAAAAAGTAAACTCTATCACAAGGTCCCATAAGTTTTTTTTCGTCCTGTTTTGTCAATAAATTTTTTCACTTACTTCATTCACTATGTCTAATATTAATAATAATAATAATAACGAAATGAAAAATAACGGGAATACAGATGAATGGATAAATTGGATTGAAGAAGCGATTGATAAAGAATATTTAAAATATTATGAGTATGAAAATTTTAAAAATATTCAAGAAATTGGATCCGGAGCATTCGGAAAAGTTTATCGTGCAAATTGGAAACATTTTGAAGATTATTTAGCGTTAAAATCTTTTTTTAATCTTAATAACGTCACCATAAAAGAAATTGTTAATGAGGTAATTTTATAAAAATATATATACTATGTATATATATATTATTTATTTTTGCATATTCTTTGTAAATTTAAAGAAGTGTAATTCAAATTTTTTTTTTTTTTTAAAAAAAAAAACTTTTAAATGATTATACATTTATTATTTTAGCTCAAACTTCAACTTGACGTAAGCTTTCATAATAATATTATTCGCTTTTGCGGAATTACAAAATTTGAATCAGGTATTGATAATTTTTACAATTACGTATATTTATTTTTAAAAATGTTTTTTTTGCGTAAATTCAATAAATAAATAATTATTATTAATTTTTTAATTTTTTTTTTAGAAAATAAATTCGACCAATCAAAAAATTATTTGTTGGTAATGGAGTACGCGGACGGTGGTACTCTTCGAGACTATTTAAAGTATAACTTTAGTAGACTTACTTGGATCGAAAAATATAACTTGGCTTATCAATTAGCTTGTTCTATATCATGTCTACATGATGAAGGAATCGTTCATCGAGATTTGGTAATTTTTTATTATTAAACGATAATAATAATATTCCATAAAGTTAGCTTACTTTTGTTTGTACATTATAATAGCATTCTCGTAATGTGTTGGTTCATCAGAATTCCATCAAGTTGGCAGACTTTGGGTTATCGAAAAGGATTGATGATGCAACAAAAACACAATCAAAATTGCTTGGTATGATTCCTTATATTGACCCAAAAGTATTAGTGGATGAAAATTTAAAGTTAAATGAAAAGAGCGATGTATACAGTATTGGAGTATTATTATGGGAAATATCAAGTGGAAATTCACCATTTCATGAAAAGACAAATAAGGTTAGTTTAATCTATAGTATTTTGCAAGGTAAAAGAGAAGAGATTATTCCTGATACTCCTATTGATTATTCTAATCTCTATACTGGTAAATATGATTTCAATATATTAAATATAACGTTTCTTTATTATTTATCGAAATAATTGTTTAATCAGATACATATTTTAATTATTAGATTGTTGGAATGGTGAACCAAGTAAACGACCATCCATACATGAAGTTGTTGATAGGTTAAGAAAATTTGTTATAAATTCAAACAGAATAACAATTTATCAACAGAATGATATGTCTAATCAAACTAATATCAAGCCAAATGATAATCTAGGTTCAGTTAATAGTGGAAATTCGTTATCTGGGGAATTTTCTCAAGTGATCAAAAATTTTGGTAATACGAATTCAAATGAACTAGATATGATGTTTGCAGATAAATTCAGAGATAAAATTTCATCTGAGAAAATAAGCATATTAGTTAATGAAGTAGTTGATCTCATTTTTAAAGAGATTAATGAAAGAAATGTTGCAAAGCGACGTCATGTTCTCAATTATCTTAATAATCATAATGTGAATTCAAAAGAAATTTATGATTGGTTATTATCTAATGAATCTAGTAATACAAGTTTTATTTTTTTACTTGGATATTTTAATTATGTGGGGATTGAAACAACTAAGAATTATGAGAAAGCTTTCGATTTATTTATTAATGCACTAGATAAGGATAGCCTATTAATACAATTTTTTGTTGGAGAATGTTATGAAAATGGAAATGGTGTTACAAAGAATGAAAATCTAGCTTTTGAATATTATGAAGAATTGTCCGATATAGGGTATGCAATGGGTCAATTTAAATTAGGCTGGTTTTATGAAAATGGATTAGGCGTTAAAAAAGATTTTAAATTAGCAGCTCAATTTTATGAAAAAGCTGCAAATAATGGACATTTGTTAGCTATGCATAATCTTGGAAATTTCTATAGACGTGGGGTCGGTGTTGAAATGAATCATCATAAAGCTTTTGAATTATTTAAAAAATCAACTGAAGGAAAATATTCAGGTGGAATAATGATGTTAGGATATTGTTATGATCTTGGTATTGGAATTGATAATGATAAGCAAAAGGCAGTTGAGTTGTATGAAAAAGCAGCAAATTTAGGACATAAGGTGGCTCAATATAATCTTGCTATGATGTATGAAATAGGTGACGTAGTTGAAAAAGATTTAGATAAAGCAATTTATTGGTATGAAAAATCTGCTAAGCAAGGAGATAAAGATGCTCGAAATAAGTTAGATGGATTTATATAAAATTTTTTTTAATAAGTAATTTCATTTTATTACATACATATATATACGTAAATTTAACCTTTCTGATTTATATAAATTATTTAATATTTATTTATTTTTTTTTATAACAAACTAGCAGTTACCCGTTGCTTCGCACCGGGACCAATGAGTTTGTTTAAATAGAAAATTTTTGTAATACTAAGTAAATTGCTTATAATTAGGAATTCAATATAAGTAATAATTAGTTGACAAAAATTAATAAAATAATATGTATTGAATTATAAGTGTAAATTTAGATCTCGTCCCTTTGCGTGATGTTTAAATCTCGCCTTTATTTCAAAAAAGGATATTTTTATGCCGATCATTTAATTCTGACCAGAATTAAATACGTCTGATTTAATGAAACCCCCCTTCCCGAAAATTCAATAAGTCAAAAATAATATTAGAAACCATCTTTGTTGCTTTAAGTAAACTTGCAGAGCAGGGGAAAATACACATAGTAAACATTTATTAAAAAGTTTGTATATTAAGATTTTCTTTTTTTGTTATAGGATGCGAAATTTTAAAATCATACAGGGGCAAAAATTACACGTTCTCGACCCTCCTCATATTACTTTCTTGACCCGGTCAAAATAGGCATGATCATGTATGACAAAAATTTATTTTCTTGACCTGCAAAAAAAACACTGACGTATTGTTATTTTTCTTTTATAGACACAATCACACAAAGAGATTAATTGAAAAAAATAATATTAATACGAAGTGGGTCAAGAACGTAATTTTTGCATCAGGGGAGGCATATCACGGGCTTTAATTATATGGCATGGGATTTCAAGTTACACAATTTAAACTATTTATACATGCTAGTTTAAAGGTTACGGTTACACTTGTATTTTTTTAGTTATATACAGTAGATTATGATTCAAACCTAGTATAATAAATGATTAATTTTCTATTTAAAATTGTTTTGTCTTTTTAAAGAAAATAATTGTTAGAATATTAATAAGGGAATGTTCTAGTCTAAATTATTAAAATTAATTAACTAACAAATTTTATTAATCTAATGATTTATTTACAACAACAATTACATTATCATAAACACAAGTTATATATAAAGTAAAATAAAAGAATTTAGTTAGTTTAAATTATAATTAAATATTATATTATATAAACAAGTAATAATAGAATTAATAAATAACTTACAAACTATTTAATAAAGAATTTGTTAGTAATAATAGAATAAAATAAATAACAGTAGTTTAAATTATATGTAAGACGGGGTGATGATCACCGGTGGCTGAAATTATGACGATCGACCAGCATTAAAAAATATAGTGCCGGTATAATTGATAATTCTGGCCAACGGTGATGATCACCCTGGTGATTTGAAGTAAAAATCATAATAAAATTAAATAAATAACTCATAACTTACCAACTAAAGAAATACAAAATAATTTTTAAATAAAGAATTTAGTTAGTTTAAATTATATGTAAATACTATGATATAATAGAATTAAATAATTAACATACCATCTATAAATAATTTTTTAAATAAAAGAATTTAGTTTAAATAAATTATAATAAAATTAAATAAATAACATATAACTTACCAACTAAAAGACATTACAAAATAATTTTAAAGAATTTAGTTAGCTTAAAATTATATAAATAATAGAAATATAGGTATTTATAACTTACACCCTAGTATTAATTAATTAATTATTAGTTAAATATAAATGTAATACAAATATTTTACTGCATATTAAATATATCACTTACAATCTGGTTATTTAAATTAAGAATATAATTAGTTGAATTATATAAAATATTAAAACAAATAAATATAATATTGTAACTTACTATCTGTAATACAATTAATTATTAAATAGTTATTTAAATAAAGAATTTAGTTATTTTGAATATTATGCAAAATAAATAAAGTAAAAAAAAAAAAAATCTAATAACTATCAACTTACTGACTATATTGATTACATGAAATATAACAAAAATGATAAGTAATTCTATTATTATTCAATTGTAATATAACTTATTAACTTACGAGCTAAAAATATTTAATATAATTTTTTGTATAATATAGTTAATTTAAATTATATTTATATATTATGTAAGGTATAAATAATTATAGGTAGTATTTAAATGTATTTACAAATAAAAATTTAATATTTTAGCATGTTTAATATACCTTTAGATTCCCTGATGCTACTTTCTTTAAATTCTTCAGAAACTAATTTATTACATTGCAAGTTTGTTAAAAATTTTAGAGTTCTAATTATATACTATATAATTATTACCTTTATTATTACTTTCAGCCATTATTATATAATTATCTCTGACTGGAAAAGATAATGTAAATATTTTTTTCTTTTTTTTATTGTTAAACGCTTTTATTAATATGGGTATATATGGTAATAATATTTATGCCAAGCATTGTAGAACTTGAGCCCGTGTAATACACGTTTGCCACCTCAAAGCTACAAAAGATCGTCCTTTATTTATAACAACAAAATATTAATATATCCCAAGTTACACATATACTATAATAACGCACGTCAATAAAGGGTTCACTCTTTTTCCTGAACGAATTCCTTTCGTATTTATAATATTTCACAACTCTTCCCAGATACCTTTCAAGTATCGCCTATTGCAAGAACAAATTAAATAAAATTACACAAAAATTAAAATCGCACAAAATAATATTTACACAAAAAAATATTTACACAAGAATAGTTTAACGTAAATTACGGTCGTTACACTAATAAAATACTTTAAGAATTTATACACTTAAACTAAATATAATACTGCGCTCTATAATTAATTGCGAAATCGCAGTAACTGGTTGATCATTTCGTCTTTATCGTCTTTAATAGGTAATTACTAATCACCTTTATTTTATTTTTTTGTGTTACAATTGATTATATTGTTAGAGTCTTTATTAACTTGAAGATAAGAATGCCGAAAAGCTTGAATCCATAAACAGATTTTTCTTAATATATTCTACATTATTACAAACAAAACATAAATACACAACTCACAATAAATAACATATTAACTGAAAAAATATTAAAGGGCGTGCCAACTTGATTCCTGACGCCACCCTAGTTATTATATTATTTTAGTTAGGATTTCTATACGTTTCTTTTATAGTTCACCATCACCAATTCACCACCACTACCATCACTGCTACTTTTATCCTCATATTGCCTTTCTGTTAACATTTTTTTTAATTTATAAACTATTTGGGTAAATTTAATAATACACTAAATACAGTATGTATATTATTATTTAATGGATGCAATAGAAGAAAGAAAAAAAAATTTGGGGAAAAGAAAAAGGATAAAGAAAGAAATGGGATTTAAAAAAAACAAGTACCGAAAAAAAGGACAATAATTCGGTCAAAAAAAAGACCAAAAAAAAATTCAAAATAAAAATTAATAATATGGTCAACAAAAAGACCGAAAAAAATAATATAAGTCTTAAAAGATTATTTAATAAAAAAAAAGTAATAATTTTTCGGTTTTGGAAAAAAACCAAATCTAGACGGGAAAAGAATGAAAAAAAAAACAAAAAAAAAGAGAAAAAGGAAAAAAAACGAAAAATTTTTGAAAAAGATAAGAAAAAGGAAAAGAAAAAGGTGTTTCGAAAGAAATTTGAAAAAAAAGTTTGAAAAAAAAGAAAGAACTATTTGTAAAGGATCGGTTCAAGAAAAAAAAAAGAAAATTAAAAAAAGGGGAAACGAAAAAATTTACCGATCGGTTGGAAAAAACCAAAAAAAAAAGCCGATCAAGCGGCTCTTAACAATTCAAAATTAATTTATACAGGCTAATCTAAACGTTCATAACTAAATTTTCTACTATATAAAAATAAATTTAACTATACTAAAGTAATTTTCTGTGTAGTGTGTTATGTTTGATCTAAAGAAATATTTGTCACAATATTACCTATATCTTATTCAGCGTTACCTCTTTTTAATATTTTTACATCTCAATTTTTTTTAATCTTTGTTTTTCTGTAAATTTCCATCATCATTAATAATATAGTCTCGTCGAGTCGTCGATATATTAAGGTCCTTTGACAACGACTAATACGTATGTTAAAGCACCTTTCCCATAATTTGAGTACAACCCTTTAGTATCTTTATCGTGTTAAATTTATTGCTTGTACTAATTTCCAAGCTTTGAATTTTCCATAAAAAATTTTTGAATTTTTGCGCATTATTTTGATAAAATATATATTAATGGATCTTATTATTTGACATTTCTCTCTATATATATATATATAAAATATATATATTGATTCAAATTTATGAATTCTTCTAATTTCGTCAATGATTTCTAACATAGTGGCTTCATTTCGTCATATTCTCAAACGTGTTCCCATGATTCCTCCTCTTAATTGCATCGAGGTTACATTCCAGAAATAATCATTACTATTTTTGTTAAAATAAACACTATACGTGGGCAAATCTTTCAAAAAAATTTTTATTATTTTGTACATTCTATCGTTACTATCCACTATATTTTTTGTAATTATTTTGATTGTTGATAAATTTCAACAGTAGTAATCCAATCAAATTCTTGTAGAACATTGTTATCATAATTTATCATTTCGTTCTTGTATTTTGCATTCTTGGCAAGCCTTTAATTAAATTGTTGCCACCTGATCACCAATGGAAAGTGATAAGAAAAATTTTCTATAGTAATACGTATTCCAAATTATTTCGTAATTACATTATTTCAAATTATTATCAATGAAGGCGAAGTAAAGGAGTATTTTTGCCGCGTTTCTCTATGGTATTGCGCCACGTTGAAATTTACAATTGATAATTTGAAAATGTGAGAATTTGATGTAAATAATTATTTTAAACCAGTCATCCGTAAAATCGTAAATTATTAATGAGGACAAAGTAAAGGAGGTGTATAATTATTTTTGCTATGTTTTTCTGTATTGCATTTAAAATATGGATTATCACTTGAACTTGAGCGAAATGTTTCGGGCATCAAACTTTATAATGAATCCAAAAAAGTCTACTTCTTACTTTTTTAAAGTGGTAGAAGTACTGTATATCCAAATTATTTTCTGAAATTAACAAAATTAATAAAATTAACTAATATCCCGATTTAAAAATATTTTTATATTTTCTTCAAAATGCACAATAAAATTTACCGCCAATTAAATGAATCAAAATGGCGAATTTTTCTAATTAACCAAATAAGAAAATAAAATATGAGTAAATGATTTTATAACTAATTTTTATTTTTATTTTCTTATGTTTTGTTTCTTAATTAAATACTCTTTGTATGTACAAAAAAATTTATTTATGAAAAAAAAAGCATAATAACGTCTAGTAATATGCAAGTAATGTTACCATTCGTCATTTCTTAAGCGATATTAAATCTTCATTTTATTTTATTTACATGATTTTCATGATATACATTCGAAGATATGCCATTAAGTAATACAAACTAGTGAATCGCCTAAACCTTGTGAAGCCCGGACTAATAATTTCCCATCCATGTTGATCATTTGATCATCAACTTATAAGGATGTGATACAAATTAGCTTTGTGCAACCTATTTATTTTTAAAATTAAAAAAAAAAAATCATTACCAGTTAATATGCTGTAAGCGTACACCACTTGGTTTTTAAAAAAAGAAAAAAAAATGACATCACTTTTTTATTCCAATCTTTCAAAAGACCTCTCCTTAATATTAAATAATGCTGACGATTACAATGTCATTATCCATGTTGGTGAAAACGACAATAAAAAAGAATTTTATGCGCACTCAGTTATTTTACGTGCTCGTTCTTCTTATTTCAAGAGTGCACTTTCTACTAATTGGATTACAAAGAAAAATAATATGATTATATTTAATAAACCAAATATTACTCCAGCCATTTTTGACATAATTATAAAGTAAGGATAATAATATTATTATTTTATTACATTATATTTGTTTTAATAAATTTTAATTTAAGATATATTTATACCGGAGAGCTTGATTTAACTAAACAACCGGGTGAAAATATTCTTGGATTGTTAATTGCATCTGATGAATTACTCCTTGAAGAATTATTTGAATATGTTCAAAATTATTTAATTGAAAAACGAACTAGTTGGATTTATCAAAATTTCGTTCTCGTTCTTAATGATGTGTTTAGACTCGACAGTTGTAAGAAGCTACAAAATTATTGTCTTGAGTCTATCTGTAAGGATCCACTTCCATTTATTACTTCAAAATCTTGTCTGTTATTAGATGATAATGTCGTTTTTAGCTTGCTTAAAAGAGATGATTTACAAGTTAGAGAGATTATAATTTGGAACTTTTTAATCGAATGGGGTATTGAACAAACTCCTGATTTGCGAAGTGATAGAAATAATTGGAATAATGAGAATTACGAAACATTGGAGAAAACTTTAAATCAATTTATTCCTCTTATTCGGTTTGTGGGAATTTCTCATGAAGAATTAATTGATAAAGTTCAACCTTATAAGGCTATTATTCCCAATAATCTTTTAAAAGAAATTGAAGAATTTTGTTATAATAATATCTTACCAACTTTACCTCTCAGAACGAGAAAAATTGAATCAAATATTATCAAATCAGAACTTATAAATTTAATAATAGTTAATTGGATTGACAAAAAAGATATTATGATTACTCGTACTGGTAATGATCCTTTATATAAATTTAATCTTATTTATCGTGGTAGTCGTGATGGAATTAATAATAAATCATTTAAAAATAAGTGTAATGGAAGGGTAGCAAGTTTAGTTTTAATCAAAGTTTCAGGATCGAATAGAATCTTTGGTGGATATAGTTCTATTGGATTTAGTGCTTTAGGAAATAATCTTTGGAATAAATATGATGGAATATTTTATGATTCATCAGATAATTTTATTTTTTCATTTGAAAATAGTGAAGATATACATAATATAAAAATAGGTCGTATAATAAATAATGATAAAGCTATTCAAGATATTGAAACTTGTGGTTTTAATTTTGGTTGGAGTTCATTATCAATGATTAATACTAATTTAAATATTGTTAATCATGATATTTATGAAAGGATTTTACCTACAGAAAAAATTTTTTATATTACGGAATTAGAAACTTTTTCTGTAACTAAATTATAATTTTGTTTCATTCTCATTTAATAAAGCATATAATTTATTATTATTATAATTCTAAAGTCATTAAGAGACAAAGGATGCAGCTTTTTTAAGTGATTTTATTAATAAATCTTTAATTTTTAAGGCATAGGTAAAGGGAGCTTTTATTATGTGAATATGGAAAATATAATCAATTTTAATTGAACAAATCCGTGTTATGTTTGATTATGAGAAATCAAACCTTTACATTGTTCAATATTCATAATCAAATAACTACCAAAATATAGGGTGTCCGATAAATCCAAATAATTCGCAAAGTGTAGCGTTATAATTAATCACTAATAATGAAAGAATTGATAGTATTGAAAATAATTAACCATAAGGTCACATGCAATATATTAATAATAATTTTTTGTTAATAAATTGGTTTTTTGTATTTTGAATTTTGACAATCACTGAAGAAAAATTCATGCAATTTTTTTTTCTTAATATTAAGAGAGCTTAATTGTGGATTATGCTGCAATTGAATTTCATAATCCTGAGATTAAAAAATCAGTGTCAATCCCTAGTAGGTCAATAATTATAACATGTAAAAATATCAAATTTCTTAATCAGATTATAAATAATAATCAGTAGAAGATATATCATGTATTCAATTTAATTGAAAATATTAAACAAAATCTTAATCATCTTTCAATCATTATAGATGAATGTAGTACAATTCTATTACAAAATTTAGGACAAACCAATCCTCCTAAATTAGAAAATTTACATCTGTATCTTTATTAGTGCTTCGATCCATGCATGGATAAAACCGCGGTATCCGGATATCCAAAAAAAAAATAGCTATCCGGATACCGCGGTTTTATCCAGATAAAATATCCGGAGAGAAAATATCTGGTTTGAACCGTTATCCGGATAAAAAAAATTATAAAATATTTTTTTTAATCATTTAAATTACCTTATTTATTGAAATTATTATCTATTAAATTACCATTTGTTAAAATCATAATCTATCTTACTAAAATTACTATTAGAATATTCAATAATTCAGGCCATCTATAATGCCAGCCCGAATTTTGTGAAATTGATATTTGTCAAGAGGCAGCAGTATCCGGCCCAGCTTAATAAAATTTGGGATTTTTGTAATTTTGGCCGCCATTATATGTTTGGCCCAAATTACTGTTGATCCATGATTTAAAAAAAAAATTTTTTCTAATAGTTAGGCTGAATTGATTAATTTTATGTTACAAAATGGTATATAAATATAATAAAAATAATTAGTTTATGCCTAATCTTCCATTATTTTGCGATTTTAATGTGCTTTTTATATTTATAATAATGTATTTATTGCAAAATTTTACGTTTCTCAAATTTTCAAAAAATTGACATAATTCAGGCAAAATTCGTAGTGCCGGCCGAAATTAAAATTTTATTTTTTTTAAAATTAATAAAATGTCACTAATTTCGTTAAAAATATTAAGTCAAAATTTAATTAAGTTAATGCCACTGATATTATTTGTTAAGATCGATCAATGAAAAAAATTATTTATATATAATCTTATCCGGGTTTCAGTTTCTATCCGGATATATCCGGATTTATATCCGAACCGAATAATCCAGATAAAACCCGGATAATTTTTTTAATTTATCTGGATAACGGTTTCTACCCGGATCGAAGCACTAATCTTTATCACATTAGATTATATACTAAAGAAATCAAATTTTTTAAAAAATTTCTTTAGTAACTGGATGAACAATTTCTAGAATTCGACAAGTTAGAATCTACAGTTTAAGTTTAAATTATATTAAAGTTAGTTATAGAGTCATTAATGGTCTGTCATTAATGGTTCTAGATATTTAGAAAGTTTATACGTTATATTTTATATAATAAACTAAATAAATGCGTTACTAACTAAAAAAAAAAAAATTAGGAAAAGGATTATTACAATTAAAAAGTCAGGATGAACTGACAGTAGGTGAAAACGGGATTTGAGACCACGGGCGCGGATTAAGTCAAACAATCACACATTTAGAGCATCAAAAGACGAACAATATTATGATGTAGCTGATAGTTTAGCAGATCTGAAGGTTTCTAATGGCGAAAATAAAGATGTATCAACAGGTAAAGTAAGTACTAAAGAGAAAGAAAATGTAGGTATTATCAATGTAAATAGGAAATGTGCTGCTGAAACTCAAGCTTCTAGAGGGTATAATGATATCAATAGTAAAAGTAGTGATAGTGATGGACTATGGAAAGCCGCCATGGTCAAAAGTGCGTAGCAAAACATAGCGTGTATACGCTATGTTTTGTAGCGCGTATACGTTATATTTCACGGCGGGTTACCCCTGTTCTGTCTGTTTCAGGGGTAACCTGTTGCAAAAAATAGCGTTTAATACGCTATATTTCATAGCGTTATATACATTATATGTTATGACGGGTACCCGTTATAAGAAACGGCAGGTACCTGTTATAAGGAACGGCGGGTACCCGCTATAAGAAACGGCGGGTACCCGTTATAAGAAACAACAGGTACCCGCTATAAGAAACGGCGGGTCCCGTTATAAGAACTGGCAGTCAGCATATTAACTTTTGATATCAATAATGATAATTATTTATTTAATGAAATTTTATTTGCAAATATTAAAATTTAAGTCACCCATTTACAATTTTAAAGAAAAAAATCACCATATATTTATTTTTATTTAAGTGTAAAAATAAAAGAAACAATAACAATAAATAAAAAGGATAAGTAAATTACAATGATCAAGGAGAAAGATGCTAATTAAAAAATGAAATAACAGTGGGAGTAATGGAAAGTAATAGAAGATGAAAGGTAGTAAAAAAGAGTAATGAGAAGTGATAGGAAACAAAAAGGAGAAATAGGACATAATGAGAGATGAAAAGGAGTGATGGGAGACGAAAAGAAGTGATGGGAGACAAAGAGGAGTGATAAGAAATAAAAAGGAGTTATGGGAGACAAAAAGAAGATGAAGAGGAATGAAAAGAAGTGATGGGAGA